TGGGAACAACAACAACAAAAAGAATCTTGTATATGCATTTTTCCATTCTCCCAGCTCTTCAGGATGTTGTATGGAGCCATCAAGGAATAAAAAGATGACTTCTCTATGGGACATACTTTCAGAGACAAAGGCATTAATATATATGAACTAAAAAGAACTGGGCTAAACAACTCTGAACAAAATATGAATAAAATCAAAATCATCTGAAACGTATTAAGGTATTGCTATGTACCAGATACTCTTACTAATTCCCACAGTATCTTCTGAGGTTGATGCTGTACAATCACTAGACTGGAAGCTCTGTGAGGGCAGGTATTATGTATTTTGTTCACCAATAGAGAATCTACACTTTGTTCATACAGCGCCTGCTATATGACAGATGCACAGTAAGATATTTGCTGAATGAATTAATAATCTCCATTTGAAAAAGGAGGTAGCTGAGGCTTAGAGAAGATAATTAGCCAAAGATACATGATGCCAGAATCTGTATTCTAACGATTTGTATCGTTATCTTTTGTATTCGTTATCTTTTTTTTTTAACTACAGAATCTTTGTGGAGTGATGGGGAGTTAAGTTATTGGTATGTTTAATCTTTCTGCTCATTCCGTCTCTGCATGAAGATGAAGTTGCTGAACTGCAATGAAAGGGCCAAATTCAGAAAGTCAAAGGAAAGAACAGAAGGAGTCCAATAAAGCAAAATGTTCTTATTTTTTATCCAGCAGAGTTCTTCCAGACTCCAGCTTAGCAAACAGATACCTGAAGTTTCTAAGGGGGTGGAAGTCTGTTTTAATTAACAGTTAACTATTCACCATGCTGTGCTATTGTGATATAATCAGAAATACATATTTGTTCTCTGCTTGCAGTTTCTGGCACAGAGCTCCTAAAACCCTTGTAATTTCCTGAGCAACAGGGGTGCTAGGTGCTAGGTACATCTTTTTTTTTTTTTTTCGGGTTTTCCTTTTTATTTAATCAAAGACTGGTGAAAAAACATAAATACAACACAATTACTTCAGATCATTCTTCATATTGTATACACACAAACCCATGAACATAATCTGAAAGAAAGCTGTAGACAGCAATGAAATGCATACAGCTTTTTCTTCCCTCACTCAAAAAAAAGTTTAAACGCACAAACTTAGAATCTCATCAGCACACACTCTCTTGTGACAAATGATTCAGACATAAATAGTGGGTGCAAAGAAACTATATGCTAACATATGAATAACCTTTGTTCATGAAAAAACAGAAGCAGCCATAATGATTAAGATACTTTCAGTTACCGATAACTAGTTGTGCCCTAAAGGGCATTATCAAAAGAGAAATCATGCCGCAGAGAAAAGCGATATATACAGACACAATGAGAAAATAAACTGCAAGATGAATGCATGCATGTTTAATACTGGAAAAATCACAGCCCTCCAAAATTTCTGCACATTTGTTATAAAAGCCCTCTGCACTCAACTAAAATTAAAATGATCTTAAAAGGATAATACTTGTAAAGTTTAAGTCTTCTTAGCCACAGAAATTGCAATGGAAATAAATGTTCAGAGTCATTTTCAAAACAAAACCAAAACAAAACCAAAACAAAAATCTATTCTTCCGATGACATGCAAGACACACTGCTCTACATTCCCAATGACTAGGGAAAAAACCCTCGAGTCAGTTTTTAGTTTGCAGATGCTCGAGGATTTTGTATTCCAGCAGGAGTTCAAATCTTTTTTTGTTTTAATATTTGGTCTCTGATCTGGGCTCCTGACACAGAGCTCCTAATCCCTTGGAATTCCTTAGGCAACAAGAGTGTCTTTTGTTCTAATGAGGCAACTCTTCGTGGGTTCTTGAATGGGAGATGGTTGCCAGAAGGACCAAACCACGGCTAAAAGCTTGGAATGTTCAGCTCCGACCCTCAGGGAGAATGAGGTAATAATTGCTCATGCCTACATGATGAAGCCTTAATAAAAACCCCTGAACTATGGGGTTTGAATAGCTCTTGGCTTGCTGAACATGTGGACCTGTCTGGAGGGTAGCACACCCAGACAGGGCATGGAAACTCTGCCCTCCCCTTCACTTATACCTCAATCTGTATATTTGTCTCTTCATCTGCTTGTTCGCCCGTATCTTCCTAACTTCCTTTATGGCTAAATGTAAGTAAATCGTTTCCCTGTCTTCTGTGAGCCATCCTAGGAAATTAATCAAACCTGAGTAGGGGTTCACGGAAACTCCCAATTAAGAGCTGGTTGGTCAGAAGTTCAGGTCATAACCTGGGATTGCGAATGGCCTCTAAAGTGGTGGGAGACAGTGTTGCGGGACTGAGCCCTTAACCTGTGGGACTGACGCTGTCTCTAGGTACCTAGTGTCAGAACTGAATTGAATCATAGGATACTCAATTGCTGTCAGCTGGAGAACTGCTTGGCATGTGGGGGACAATCTTCACACATTTGATGTCAGCTGATATTCTGCTGTCTAAGACAAGGAAAACTCTTTACCTCCTACATACATTATGCTGAGCAACTTCTGAAATATAACCAATAATCAAAAGCATTGAGACAAGTTATGGTAGGTCTTCTGAGTCCAGTGCTTGCTGCCGCATACATAGTGCTGAATTTTGTGTTTGACCCGTAAAATACTCTCATTACTCTGCAGCCACATTTGTTACCAGTGTCTAATAAAATGTCAGACAGAGAAATAAAATACCCGTGCTCTTGTTGTTCTGGATACCACAGGACATTCCATCTTGAGTCTTAATAAGGTAGAAAGAATGGAACAAGAATCCTCATATTCCAAATTATAGCCTTTGGAGTGTTTCCATATACCAAGCAAGACAGGAAATCTCTGTCTAGATCACAACAGAGTGACTTAATATACATGATTCCCTAAAGATGAAAGCATAAAAAATCAGGAATCTCCTGAATCTAAACAAACTGGGTTGGTTAAAGAAGTTCCACGGGGATCAGGCCCGGTGGCTCATGCCTGTAATCCCAGCACTTTGGGAAGCCGAGGTGGGTGGATCACTTGAGGTCGGGAGTTCGAGACCAGCCCGACCAACATGGAGAAAGCCTGTCTCTACTAAAAATACAAAAATTAGCCGGGCATGGTGGCGCTTGCCTGTAATCCTGGCTACTTGGGAGGCTGAGGCAGGAGAATCTCTTGAACCTGGGAGGCGGAGGTTGCGGTGAACCAAGATCACGCCATTGCACTCCAGCCTGGGCAACAAGAGGGAAACTCCATCTCAAAAAAAAAAAAAAAAAAAAAAAGGTCCCATGGGGAGCACAGTATACCTCAGTGGCTGTAGCATGGATCTTGGAGTCTGGCAAGCCTGGGTTCTTAACCACACTTAGTCACTTAGTTCTGCAATATTAGGTATGTTATTTACCCAGTTTCTCATCCATAAAATGGAGATAATAATAGTTGTTATCATAAAGCGTTCTTAAGAATACTGAATACAAATATGTACAATGCATATGCGCAGTGCTAGTAATAACTGAGTACACTGGCTCTAACTTTCATCATTTTTACTACCGCCATCACTTTTGTCTCATCTCTGAGGAAGTCTCTAAACATAAGCCAAAGGAAACAAACTGAGGTAATGAATAATATTAGTTACATAAGGTCATCTTTGACTTTATTTATGTAATGATTATACTCGTCAGGGTTATGACCCAATGTGGGTCCCATTCAGGATGCTATATCATAAAAGAACAAGAAAAGAAAAGTATTCCTGGAAGTGACTTCTTTGCAGAAACAGGTTTTAAGTGGGAAGATGCAACCAGCGATTGGAAGAAAGAGTTGATGGTGATGGTCTTCCTGTTGCACCTGGCCAGCTGTGGCAGTAGTTATTATTAGGCAAGTAAAATTATGGATGACTGTAAATTCTATTCTGAGTCAAGTCTGAGGAGGAAATCATAAAATGCAAAATCAGTAAGCCTTCATTTCAAGTAAGCAGTCTAACACTCAGCGTCTCCGTGATTTAGCTCGCCTAAATGTCCTTAAGTTGGAACATTTTATCAAATAGGCCTTAAAGCACAATGGTTTACACAGAGCTACAAGTCAAACTGCCTGCCATTGAATCCTAACACCATCATTTACTTTCTGATCTCACCAGTAAAAGAGGTTGTTCTGTTTGGTACCAGGTATATTTTAGCAGTTATTGTCATCATCATCATCATCATCATATCATCATCATTATTGCATTTCTCATTTTGTAATATAAATATCTTTTCATGCCTGTTTTCTTCTTCTAAACTGTGAGCTATACTAATGAAGGAACTGGATGTCTTCATCTCTTTTTCTGTTTCTGGTCCTAATAGACACTCAGAAGTGTTAGCTGAAAGAATGAGTGAATGAACAACCCAATGAGTATGAAACTAAGATAAGCTCAGAACAGATACCTTGAATTTAAGTGTAGAAGAATAATAACCTTTTCAGATTATTAATGAAATTATCTAGAGTAATTTAAAGAGGATCAGTCATCTTCTTAGCTTCTCTTTTGTCTATTCTATTCCTAAAGAAAGAACCTATGTAACCTTAACCCATATCCTGAACTTCACAGACATTAACTATTATTTTTGAGACGTTCACAGGCTCTTGTTGGCTGTAACATCTTCCCCACTTCCCTGCCCCAAAAAACTGAAGAACAATAACAGTTACACATATGATTAATTCAAAACCCAAAGAGAATTTTGATAAATACTACCAAAATTAGGTTAATATACAAACAAATTAATTTTGAATATTTAAAAATTGATATTAAAAACAAAGGTTTTAATATGTTTCAATGATATTTTACTGAAGAACTTCTAAAATATTCTGTGAGATTAGTTTTCACATAAGCAGCAAATAACATTTGCAAGCAACATTTCTGTTCTTGCTTTGAAAAATGATTTTAAGTAGTTGAAGGAAATATAATTTGACATCATTCTTTTCTTTCACCTCACTTTCCTGTAGAACATCCACTGCACCCATTCACTTCACCAAAAGACAAGTTAAAAACATATGCTTCTCACCTCTAAGAGTTCATCTCCAATACGCATTCGTCCATCTGTGGCAGCAGGTCCTTCCGGGTTAATTCCCACCACAAATATGCTCATGCGTGATCGGTCTTTATTACCAGCAAGGCTGAGTCCAAGTCCATTCTTATCTTTTTCAAGTTCAATAATGTGCAGTTCTCCAGGCAGATCTGCATATCTTTGTCTGATTTTTTCTATTAAAAGAATTTTTAAAACATTAAATAGAGTAACTTGATCTGTATTATTGAGATGTCAGCATTTTCCCATCCTTACTGTGATTTCTCAACCACGGTACCTTTTTTGTTTTTGAAGAGACAGAGTCTTGCTATATTGCCCAGACTGGAGTGCTGCAGTGGCTGTTCACAGGCGTGACTATAGCACACTGCAGCCTCCAACTTCTGCCTCAGCCTCCCAAGTAGCTGGAACTACTAGTATGTGGCACTGTGCCAACCTCTATAATAATTTATTTTTGAGAATGAAGGTACTTAAGGCCATGCATGGCCTTAGATGTAGGTTACAGTTAAAAATTATTTTATTTCCTGCTAAGAAGTTTAACTCACCCATAAGACCTTCTGATTGTTCAGGTTCACACTGGCCTAGACTTTCTGTGGACTCTTCTTACCTAAGTCAATCAACACAAAGTGGCAGAAACCATGGTCCCTTTCCTATCTGCCCCAATCCACCCGCACTACAAACGGAAACAAAAATATTAACTGAGCACCAGATTTAAGGCAAGCAAAGTGTTTGGTCTTAGAGATATAATGCTGAACAAAACAATCATGCTTTCTCCTCTTAGGACTTATGGTCCAGTAGGAAAGAAAATCAACAATTAATTCTAAATAATTACATTAATATATATTAAATAATTACATTAATATATATTAATACGAAGGGTACCAAATAACACTGGGTTATGGGAGCAAAAGCAAGAGGAATTAAGGGTGTTGGTTTAGCTGTCATATTTGAATTCATTCCACAAATCTACCACTTACTCAATATCTAACAATGAATACACTGTTTTATCTATCTCTATGAGGTTCCACTTCTTCATCTATAAATTGTTACTATCCATTTCATGGATGTTAAGAAAATTAAACAACATACATGTTAAAGGGCTTAGCGGCTCATAGTTTATAGGTGTTCTATACTTCTCTTATTCCATCTTCTGTCTCACTTTGCTACCTCTATGTTAGGGTCAAAAGGACCTGTTTTAGGAGATGGCTGGCTATGTCTCACTTGTGTTGGTTCTGTGCAGCAAAACCACATTGACAAATCAGTGTGAGGATAGCACTGCCTTAAGCATGTCCTGTGCCCCACACAGCACAAGATCAGGCCAGGTGTGCCACCATACTCAAAAGCTACATGTCTACTACCATGGCTGGAAGCAATCATCTCAACAGCTTTTAAATAACAAATTAGTAGACTGTGACACTCTTGGAACTCTAAATGCTCATTCTAATGCTTCACTTCTATTACATTTGCTGTCCTTAGGAGGGAACCTTGCAAATTAAAAGCTCAAGTCAAATCATTTGTCTTAAGGTAGAGTGGAGAAGAAGACAGCCCAGTCCACTCCATCGCTTTACCAGACTCAACAAACACTGCTTTATAAGTGAGTAGATAAATTTAAACTCATAAAAATGACTTTATGCATGAATTTATAATAAAAGAATAAGGCATAAGGGGGGCTTATTTTAGAATGAAAATAAATCTGCTTTACAAGAATTTTGAAGAGAATCTTAAAGAACTCTCACTGAACAAAGCTTGTTACTAATAAATGAACATATTTAGCAAAATACAGTAAAATGAAGGACTTGCAAGATCACAAAACTGTTAACTATATAGGAAAAGAGTTAAGTCATATTTACACTGAAGTGAATAAATACAAGGCATTTTTGCTGGTCGGCAACCAAGAACAAGATGCTGTGTGGGTACTTGAATGAATAGAGACGAGTAAGACATGCATTACAATAAAGATGCTCACACAGCATAATAGGAGAGATAAAGTTAACACAACAAATATTCAACGACTGCAATTATTTTTTAAATTCCCAACCATTATGACTGCTGGTCACTGAATAAATACTAACTTATTAATTAGATCAGTGAATAAATACTAAATTAATTGTGCCACCAATAATTGCTTTTATTTTATTTTATTTTTTGAGATGAAGTCTCGCTCTGTCACTCAGGAGTGCAGTGGTGCGATCTTGGGTCACGGCAACCTCCACCTCCCAGCTTCTTGTGCTTCAGCCTCCTGAGTTGCTGGGATCACAGGTGTGCGCCACCACACCCAGCTAATTTTTTTATTTTTAGTAGAGACAGGGTTTCACCGTGCGGCCCAGGCTGGTCTCAAACTCCTGATTTCAGGTGATCCGCCCGCCTCGGCCTCTTACAGTGCTGGGATTACAGACATAAGCCACCATGCCTGGCCCCAGTAATTGTTTTTAGAATTCCAAAAATGGATATGGCTAGAAAATATTTTTTGGAATTAGGAAAATTTAAGCAGTCTTGAGTATGGTATGCAATTTGATTATGTGATAAAGAATCTTGGTGGGTGAAATGGCAAGAGGAAAATGCAGCTGGGATAGGGAGGAGAACATAGGTAGCTGTTGGCTGCAAACTGGAAATTCTCTGGACTAGTGGGTGGGTGATCAGAAATAAGACTGAAAGGTTAGTTGATAGGCTGTTTACAGCAATAATATTCCATTTTACGGGTTCTGCAGAGGTGCCATAGAGTCCCCCAGGATGGGGGGGTTGAGAAGAGGCTCCATTTAAGATCTTTTCTCCAGATTCAACCAGAGCACTTATGCTCTCATCTGCTTTGTTTATTGGACTTACATGGTAAGACAGTTAAGAAATGATATCACAGCTAAGAAAACAACACGAAACACCAATTTTAACACACCTCTCACAGAAAGTAATAAAGCATCTTTTTTTTTTTAAAAAAAAGACATTGATAACTTTAACAAGACAATACTCAAAATAGTAGATATAAGATAACTCTACACCTGACAGACACAAAATGCACATTTTTTGCAAATCACACACAGACCAAGTACAGAAACAGACTGCATATTGGGTCATAAAAGAAACTTCAATAGCTCTCAAAGACTCAATATTACACAGGCTGTGTTCTTGAAATATAATGCAATAAAACAAAAAAATTATAAATTAACAATAAAAAGATAACTTTAAAAACCTCAGTTGTTTAGAAATAATATTAGTAAAAAACCCAAGATTTTAAATAGAAAATTAAGAAATACAGTATTCACAATTGAATAAAAATTATAATTCTAGATGTCAAACTCGGGAGACACAGCTAAAGAAGAATTTAGAAGGCAATTTATAATTTTGAAGAATTTACCAGAAAACAAGAAAGGTTAAAAAAAAAGCATTATAACCAAGAAATTGGAAAAATAGCTACATAGCAAATGCAAAGAAATAAGAAGACACAAAATAGCAAAGATAAGGGCATCTGCTAATGAATGAATATAGAACTATCACCAACAAACAAATCAAAATAAAAATACATTCTGAAGTTCAATGAAATTAAAACCTACTTCTTGGAAAACATTAATAAGATAGGCTCTTTAAAAACTTAATGAGAAAAAAATAGATGATAAAAATAAATTACAAAGCTGTATACAGTGACTCATGCTTGTAATCCCAGCATTTTGGGAGGACTGCTTCAGCCCAGGAGTTTGAGACAAGCCTGGGCAACATAGCGAGACCCTGTCTGTACAAAAAGTTTGAAAAGTTAGCCTGGCATAGTGGCACACACTTATAATTTTGGCTACTCCGGAGGTTGAGGTGGGAAGATCATTAAGTCCAGGAGTTCAAAGCTACAGTGAGCCATGATTGTACTACTGCACTTTGGCCTGGGCTACAGCATGAGACCCCCATCTCTAAAAATAAATTTTAAAAAACTACAGAACTAAAAGAGAAAAATAACTGCAGACAGGTTTTTTAAATAAAATTATGGACAGTACCTCAATACAAACTGTAAGTTGGTACATTCTTAAATCTATATGATGTAGATACATTTCTCAAAAAAGTTAAAACACAATATTTAGTGCAAGAATAAATGTAAAACTGTGATGAACTAGTAGCTATTAAAGACACTGAAATGAGGCTGGGTATGGTGGTTCATGCCTGTGATCCCAGCACTTTGGGAGGCTGAAGCATCCCACATTCTGTGGCAGAATAGAAAGGATAAGGGTTAGGGTCACAATTAAGTTCAAACACAAGCTAAGACAATATCTCTGATTCCTTGGACAAATTACTAAGCCTCTATGAACCCAGATTTCTTATGTAAAATGGGGTTGTTACCCTAAAAGTGGATGTTTCCTAAAAATGCCTGGGAGGTAGGAGTCCAAATAATGTTAGGGGAAACAAAACCACATGATTTTTGTTTCCATGATATAGTTATGTTGAGGTTTACAGTTAGTCTTAAGTTGGTGACAAAGTTGCTCTTTTCTATTTAACTTTTTGTTTGTTTTAAGAAAAATGGAGACTTAAGAAAGAAAGCAGTTTTGCCCATGATGGCATGAAGAAAAGCCACACAGCCCTCTGGTGGGAACCATTAGAGGAAGAGACTAACATTGTTCTCCACCGAGTCTCTTCTTTGAGGCAAGGAGAAGACCCTGGAACATCTGCAGGTGCAGAGAAATGCCACCACTGGATCAAGTGTTTGTCCCGTGATATATAGGCCACTGAAACAGCTTTACAATTGTGTGCTAGTAAAGTGTAGAATCAAAACCCTTTCTGTAGTTTCTGTTTGCGAAAATAAAAAAGTTCTGGAGATGGATGGTTGCACAATGTAAATATACTTAACACTGAACAATACACTTAAAGATGGTAAAATAGTAAACTTTGTTATGTATATTTTACCACAATTTTAAAAAGAACCCCATAAGTGGCTTAAAAGACCCTAAAAAAATTGGCTCCCTTATCAACATCCCACTGAGGGACTAAGTTATAGATTTATTATTCTAACTTTTAAAACCAGCAGCTTCTTTTTTTTTTTTTTTTTTGAGTCAGAGTCTCACTCTGTTGCCAGGCTGGAGTACAGTGGCGCGATCTTGGTTCACTGCAACCTCCGCCTTCTGGGTTCAAGCGATTCTCCTGCCTCAGACTCCTCAGTAGCTGGGACTATAGGCATGCGCCACCACGCCCAGCTAATTTTTGTGTTTTT